CACACTCAACGTGGGGACAAGTTGCCACATTGTCATACATTATTTTTCGCAATAATTATTCTTTTTGGGACTACCATTAACTCAGTAGTATGAAATGTATTTAACCAATTTCGTTTAAGTTGATGAAGGACTGTTAGAAGAAGAATTTTCCCACAATTCTATGAGTTGAACTGACGTTTTCACACAATTTCACATAGCCTTGCTTTCCCAAAAGTTCAGTTCGACTCCCGCTGATGGTGTTGATAAGACCGATGCGAGGTGGAAACTGCAGTCGACTGGTGCCTGAATGAGAACAACTTTTGGGATAGCAAGGCTATGTGAAATGGAATGGAAACGTCAGTTCAACTCATTTGATTGTGGGAAAATTCTTCTTCTACCAGTCCTTCATCACCTTAAACGAAATTGGGTGAATACATCTCATACACTGTCATACAGCCGCGGGTGCCAGTGTGTCGCAGGGCAGATGTGAAACTCTAATCAAGTATTTACAAACAGATAAATCCAATGACGTTGCTAATATTCGGTGTGAGAATGCCTCTAAAATACCGCACACTTTTGGAATACACTTTGGTTGTTCTAGGTCGCCTAAACTGATTTAAGGGCTCACAGTGCAGCTTATCCCACATTTGTATGAATGGTCATCAAGTTGGAATTACATTTTACATGCGCTGCCTTCCAAGACGCTTTATCATCCCTTTGCGACTTAGAGTGATTGGGTTTTTAATCATAGATTAAGGGTAATTGTGACACACTCACACCGAGTGCAAGTAAAGAGACCGGTTTTTATTTGATAATACATGTTTGCTTCATCTCCATTCTCACCAGAATTGTAATGTGTGACATTTCTGGTTTGCCTGGAAAGTTCCGTTTGCCCCGTCACCCGCTAGCACCTTTGACTGAGTAGCGAATGAATTAGTGTTAACACGTCGCCACGATTGGCTGGACCCAGGTTCGAATCCCTATTATGCAGTTGCAGATAAAACTGCATTCAAGTCCAGTCCACATGAGGAATATGTTAAGTTAATTGGTTTAGTGAGGTC